ATTATACACTCTTCCCCTTCATATACTTTACATTCCAATCAAACTAACCAATGTACTATTCTTTGTGTATGTATATATATATATATATATATATATATATACATACATGCACACATATATACATATATATTTTTTCCCCTCCTTTTCATTAGAGTCGAATTTTTTCCCCTCCTTGTGACCCAGATTCTTGCTTACTTTTCCTTTCTATCTTGGTTACCTTTAATATGCCCCTATAGTGTGCTTGCCCAAGGCTCTGATTTAACTGCTCCAGCAGAGACTGACCTCACTAACTCTTCCTGTATGACCAAAACACCACAGAGAAGATTCTGAAAGAATCAGAGCGGAGCACAGCAGAGCGCAGATGGCAACAGGAATAGAAAGACTGGAGACAGAAGGCAAAAAGCTGACCTCTGGGCACAAACAACCCCAGAGCAGAAGGGCAGGGAGGGACTGAAGCAGATGCTATGGAGAAAGTGAAAAGGAGATAAACCATGAGAAATATGCTGGATACAGCCCAAGTTGCTTATGACTTTAACCTGTGGTCCAGCCAGGGTTGAGTTTTACATGTAGGCCAAGGAGGCCTGCCACATCCTGAAATCAACCTACTGGCTGATGCTTGGATTTCTACCATTAAAGTTTGCAAAAGATCCCCTTTCAAAATGAGGTCTGAAATCTCTCTCTAGCCCAGGGCTCCTCGATCTGCCCACTTTCTGAGATAGCCTGAGATAACAGAAGTTACATTTTTTTTGGGGGGGGGGTTCCTAAATCAAAAGCTATCAGCTGCTGGGCCTTTTTCTCTTTTCTCTCTATACTTTCTCACTTGGTGATCTCACTAGATCTAATGGGTTCAATACCATCTAAATGTAAATGACTCCCAGAAACAAATGATTCCCAGCTCTTGTCTCTCTTCTGAGCTCCAGTCACACATTCCCAACCAATAGTGGACACTTCCCACTGAATGTCCCAGGGGCATCTCAAACCTGACTAAAACACAACTTGTATCTGTACCTATATATAAATATAGCTGCACTTAATTTTAGCTTTGGGAGAGAGGAGGAAGAAGGGGGGAAAAAGAACGAAGTAAAAGATGCACAGCAGAGAACAAAAGAAAACTTACAAGAAAGCAAAGATACTACAATGCATAGTACTTATTATACAGGCTTTCCTGAAATGGAAATTTATTGCTATCTAATTTGTTTCTCTTACATTCTGCTGTGCACATGACATGCTTTTCAAAAATTTTCTTATTTTGTATTTGTTTCAATATTTAAGTTTATAATATGTTTCTTTTTCTTTTTCTCTGTTAGGTGTTTAAGTTTTAGTATTTAAGCCTAAGATAAAAAAAAAAAGAAAAAAGAAAAAAATTTATCTGTTCCCCCAAATCGTCCTTCTTCCTATCTTCCCTATTTCTACTAAAAGTATCCTTCCAGGTTTTGAAATCTCACAATCACTATTCTCTCTCTCCCACCACCCCTAGAGTCAATCAGTGGTCAAGTCTTGTGGATTCTACATACACACCTTTTTTAGGCACTCATCATCTTTCTCTTGGATTATTGCAGTTGCTTCTTTATTGATGTCCTTGCGTCACGTCTCTCCCTTTTGCAATCCAGCGCTACCAAGATAATGTTCCAAAAGCACAGTACCAATGAGTTGACTCCCCTGAGTAAAAAGATCCAGTGGCTTCCTGTTGTCTATAGAATAAGATACAAATTCCTCTTTCTAGCATTTAAAGCCTTTCACAGCCTCATTCCAACTTGCCTCTCCATGAGTATTATATACTTTTCACCTTCACGTGGGGCCGCTAGGTGGCAAAGAGGATAGGCAAGGATGGGGAACCTGAAGCCTCGAGACCACATGTAGCCTTCTAGGTCCTTGGGTGCAGCCTTTTGATTGAATCCAAACTTCAGGGAACAAAATCCCTTAATAAAAGGATTTGTTCTGTAAAACTTGGACTCGGTCAAAAGGCCGCACCCAAGGACCTAGAGAGCCACATGTAGCCTCCAGTCTGCAGGTTCTCCGTCTCCGGGATAGTGTCAGACTTGAGTCAGAAGGACCTAAGGTCAAATCCAGCCTCAGACACTTACAATCTGTGTGACCCTGGGCAAGTCACTTAACCCTGTTGGCCTCAGTTTCCCCATATGTAAAATGATCTATAATCATTCAACCTCAAAATATCCTAAAGAATTCCACCAATAAATTGGAACATTATCACAGACTTAGATGCTTGTCTATAATTGCCTAGATGTAACTTGTTGTTATTTTTTAGTTGTGTTTGACTCTTCATGATCCCATTTGGGGTTTTCTTGGCAAAGGTCCTAGAATGGTTTGCCATTTCCTTCTCCAGCTCATTTTAAGATAAGGAAACTGAGGTAAACAGTGTTAAGTGACTTGCTCAGGGTCACACAGTTAGTAAGTGTCTAAGGCCAGATTTGAACTCAGGTCCTTTCTGACTCTGGGGGTTGGCTCTCCAACCACTCGGCCACCTAATTGCCCCTAGACATTTATCCACAAAACTTAAGAATAACATTTTTTTAAATGCCACCATACCAAATACTAATAACCTCCAAGTAATATTCAACCAAAAGAAACTCCAAAATATAGGGTAGAGACCTAGCAGAGGAGACTTTTAAAAATCACAAGGAATTTAAAAGTACAGCTCACGCCTTTTGTTTGCTGCTGGGAGTTGTACCAAGGATGCTGTCAGTGAGGCTGAAATGGCATCATAATGCTTTAATCTAACGATAAAAAATTATCCTATGCATTTGTGCAACAGTCCAGAAAAAAAAATGGACATAAAAGAATAATATCGTAGTGTTCCTATCTGTTCCTATCTGAACTTCATTGAAAAAGATGGGAGAAAAGAGATAATGACAAAAATAACAATAACTTTTAAAAAACTGAGATTTCAAGTTTTCTGAATATATATAAATATACACACATAAATATATACATATATGTATATATGCATGTATATCTTTATATAATACATTCTATTATATACTTTCTTTATACAGTATATATACATATATATATATATATATATATATATATATATATATATATATATGTATTTTATATACATCTCATATGAGGTGATATATGAACCCAGGAGACAGATCAGATCACCAAGCTGCTTAGGATAAAGAGAAGAGAGCCTAATATGAAATCTTGGGGTACACTCAATCTAAGAGGAATGGGATAGATTCTTCTTGATCTTTTAGCTCCTAAATGAAGACCTGTTCTCAAAAAGGATAGGTAGCATTATCTCAAAGACGATGTTCTCAAAGAGGATGGGTAGCTTTAGGGGAGATCAGCTACATCGAAATTAACTAAAGTAATCTAATACTGTAGGTAGCTAGATGGCTCAGTGGATAGGGCTATGGGCCTGGAGTCAGAAGACCTGAGTTTAAATCCAGCCTCAGATACTTCCTAGCTGTGTCACCTTGGGCAAGTCACTTAACCTCTATTTGCCTTAATCCACTGGAGAAGGAAATGGTAAACTACTCCATATCTCTGCCAAGAAAACCTGTGGACAGTATGGTCCATGGGGTCATGAAGAGTCAGACATGACTGAAGAACAGTAACAATCTAATACTGTAGGAAAAGGCTGTCTATGTACCCGACTGCATATTTCCATAAACATTCAACATCTAAATCAAAGAGACATCACTGTGTGATCAAATTTATTTACACTTCTAGCCTGACCTTTTTTTAACATGGAAGAAAATTGCATTGGAGGGCTGCATGGAAATTTATCATCCCTGCTTAGCAGATATGACATGTTTTGATGATTGCTTCCCAAGATCCTTATAGGCTATGGCAGAAAAAAATACTACTTTCTTTTGCCCCAGAGGCATATTTCTTGAGCCAATGCAAAGGAGGAAATCTGGTGGCTGAGAGGAGGAAGGCAAGGAAGAGTCAACACCTCCTGCCTTTTGGAGAAGTTGAAAATGACAAGTTGATTTAGGTACCAGAGACCCAAGGACTTAAAAGGCAAGTGCTAAACCCCTCCAGACCATAAAAGATGACTTCATCTTCTAACTTTGACCTTGTTACTCGGCTCAAGGCCGAAGCACTGGAGGTTTTCCCTATCAGACAAGTGATTCTCTAAGGGTACTTTGAGTGTGATCTCAGCCTATCCTGAATACACACCAGATGCCCTCAGAACAAACTCAAAAGTGGCTTTTGTGTGTTATGTATATTTTTAAAAAATCTTTATTTGCTTCATTTTCATTTCTCTCTGCTCCTATACTCTCTCCATTTCTGTGGGAGTTCATCGAATGAGATAATATTTATAAAGCTTTTAATACAGTGCCTGGCACATAGTAGATGCTTAATAAATTGCTTGGTCCTTGCCCCCCGTTCTATAGACTACATGGTTCCATATTTACATTTTCCCTTCTGGTACTTTGGGGGTGTCAAAGGAGATTTTATGTGTGTATGTGTGTGTGTGTGTGTGTGTGTGTGTGTATATATATATATATATGTATCTTGTGGTCTGGAAAAGCACTGGGAGTTGTAATGACCAACTCCCAAATCAACTATTAAGTCAGTTGAAATAAACAGTAGCCTAGTTAAATATAGTCATTGCTAACTGAGCACCCAGCTGTTTAAACATCAAAGGCAACCTGAGCTACTTTGGAGGGGGGCGCATACCTAGCTTCATTTCAGTCGCAGGGATAAAGACACATCAGTTGCAATTGGCTGAGAAAAATAATAATAACAGCTTATATTTATGTAGCACTTACTATAGGCCAGGCACTGCTCCAAGCACAAATACTTATCTCATTTAATCCTCACTCACAACAAGCCTGGAAAGTAAGTACTATTAGTATTCCCATTTTAGAGATAAGGAAACTGAAGCAAACAGAGGTTAAAGCAATTTGCCCAAGGTCACACAGAGAATGTATTTGAGTTTCAGCTTTTAATTCTCTGTTCTCTCATTAACAATACACTTTACACTTAGACCCTTACACAAAAATTCCACATAAATTGGCAGCAATGTTGGTTTTCTTTTGCAAACACATCACCTCTCACATAAATGACATACTCATTTTGCAAGTTCTTTTCCTTGATTTTGCTTAGCTTCACAGACTTTTTCTTAAGCCAAAGTGACCCTTAATTATGTATGGTTCAAAACTCTCATTTTACAGTTAAAGGAATTGACCCAGGGAGTAAAAAGACTTGTCCAAGGTCACATAGTGAGTAGACAAAGTTGGGATTGAAATTCAAATCTCTGGATCCTCATTCCAGAGTTTTTTCTCCTTAACAAGTTGCCTCTTTTCTGTCTAGAGTCAAGGTCTCCTGGCCAAACACTCTTTCCATTAAATCAAGGAGCTTTGGGTTTCTCCAAATGCCCCTTTGTCCTAATGGGAAGAGCCAGGAGTAATGGAAGACCCTAGGATTTGGAGTTAAAAGACAACAATAAACTTGGGTTCTAGGGCTGGCTCTTCCAGTTGTTAACTGTATGACTTTGAGCAAGATGTGTCCCCTTTCTGGGTCTCAGTTTACTCATCTGTAAAATTGAACATCTAGACCTGATAATGATAATAATTGACATATATGTCATGCCTTATGAAGCCTGTAAAGTGCTTTAAATACGTAGCATGATAGGGCCACAGAATTCAAGTTATAAAGGATTTTCGAGACCATAGAATGCAATTCTCTCATTTTACAGAAAAGCATCATCTCAGTTAATCTACCCAACCACCCTCAGAAACAATGGTCTTTAAGATTCCTTCCAGCTTTTGAGACAGCTAATCAAGTCTTTCCACTATTGTGTCAGAGAAAAAAAAATCAATTGTTATTATTTAACTTTATTTAGTAGTTAACATACATCTGTTGTCTGGCAAACATTCTAAAAATATGTTTTTATGAAAATTATTCTGGCTTTAATCTGCCTCCATAGCATGTACAATATTTGATTGTAACCCTGGCAATGTGAATAATGAATAATGATTACAGCATGTTACAAATAGTCAAAGGTCACATACATAAGAAATTAAGAATGCAAAAATACCCAGTGCTCATGAGGATGTTGATTATTTAGGCTGGTATCTCATCTAACCTATACTTCTTCCCATAAAGATTTCTAGCAACATAATTTTGAAAATAACATGGCTAAAAGTATTTTCTAAATTCCAATAGAAAGAAAACATTAAATGGCCTATTAAAAAATAAATTCAGAAGTAGTTTCTTGCAAAAGTATGTCTTTGGTCATTATCTGCAGTAAGTTTCATCTCCATGTTCATTATATTAACCAAGGCTTTAGGATAACTGTTTCCAGTGACCATCAGCTTGATTTTTTCTGCCCTGAAAAGAAAGAAAAGGTCAAATTCAAGTATGGATACAACTTGGCATCAAAGGGCTGATCAATTGACCTATTAAAGGGGCCTTTTAGACTCAATTAGCCCATGTTCATAAACCAAAGTCATAAACATTCAGTAATTACTTATTTGAATTTTTAATGTTTTAAAGAGGAGAAATCATGGTGTGCCTCTCTATAAGATAGTTATTATGAAGATACTTTTCATCAACTATGCATTTATTTCTATACTGGAGAAACAGATTGGGAAAAAAATACTTTCCATGTCTTTATTCATAATAAATGAGCAGGAAAGAGCATCAGAAATGCCACTAATCATGGAGTGATGGAGTGGAGAGAGGAAAAACAGTCGTTGGACATAACAAACTTATAAGGGCTCCCGGAGGCCAGCAGTTTCAAAAGGAAGAAGCATGCAATACTGCTGGTTTACTAAACTGCTTTAGGATTAAAGGTCAAATTTCTTTCCAATAAAATTTTACTATAAGCAAAATATTTCTATGCCTCTGTCAATGGCTCACCTGCTCAACAACCACAAACAGCTATTTTTTTTTTTAGTGAGGCAATTGGGGTTAAGTGACTTGCCCAGAGTCACACAGTTAGGAAGTATTATGTGAATGAGGCTGGATTTGAACTCAAGTCCTACTGACTCCAGGGCTGGTGGTCTATTCATTGTGCCACCTAGCTGCCCCTCACAAATAGCTATTAAGCTCTGGTGTCTGAGGTACTGTGATAGTGTTAAAGTTTTTTTTTTTTAATCCAATCTCCACCCTCAAGGAGTTTATAATCCGCTGGGTATGGTATGGACAGAGATATGTGAAATAAAAGGTAAGGAAGGATAGGACTAAAGGAGAAATACAAAATGCCCTAGTGGTTTCAGCTCAAGGGAACCAGCGAAGGGTTTCACAGATAAGGGGGGACTGAGCTGGTCTTTGAAGGAAGAAAAGGATTCTGAAAAGTGGAAATAAGGGAGGAATCCGTTCCAGGCAAAGGGGAGGACCTCTGAGAATTCACAGAGGCAGGTGATGGATGGCATTGGCGCATTTGGGGGAAAATTAGCAGTCCAATTTGGCTACAGCTGAGGGTGTGAGAAGCGTTCACCTAGTAATGTGAAATAAAGCTGAAAAGGTAGGAGGAACCAGTTTTCAATAAGATGAAATGACAGGACAATAGAGTAGTTTCAACATCCCCTTGAAGTTCACTGTAACTAGACTTGACTTGCTGTGATTCATTGTTACTAAGACTTGAAATCATGAATTTATTTTTTAATTATTCCTTGAAGGGTGACCTTAGTAAAATTGATAATTGTCACACATCACTAAAAGTACCTGCAGTAATCCAAGTCTCCAAGTAATCCAAATTAATCCAGTGCCATGTTGGATTTCCACTGGTTATCTAGGCACCTCCTTGTTATTTAAATTTTTAACCACTAATGGGGCAGCTAGGTGGCCAGTGGATAGAGCACTGGCCCTGAAGTCAGGAGGACCTGAGTTCAAGTTCGGCCTCAGACCAAACACTTGACACTTACTAGCTGTGTGACCCTGGGCAAGTCACTTAACCCCAATTGCCTAAAAATAAATAAATTTTTAACCATTAAGGGGCACAGTCAATCACTTGCCAGCGCCTATTCCAAAATAGGAGCAAGAGTTGTCAATTACATGCTCCCCCTAACTGTTGTGCACTCTACCCAACAGTAAAGGACTCTTGGGAGTATGTCCTATGTGGCTTTCAGAACTGTTACCGACCTCATTTGCCTGGCCGTGTTTAGTCTCTGTGCCTTTGGACTGACTGCCCCCTATTCCATACCTGGAATGCACTCCTTCCCAACTTCTGCATCTCTATTCTTTCAAAACATAGCTCCAGCGAGAGAGAACTAATGGATTCCAAGTGGAGATTAAAGCATAATTTTTTTTTACTTTTTCTTTTTTTAAAAACATGGCTAATATGGAAATATGTTTAGCATGATTTCACATGTATAATAGGCATCAAATTGCTTGATTTCTCAATGGGTGGGGGAGGAGCTAGAGGAAGGGAGAGAATTTGGAACTCAAAATTTAAAAAAAAAATTTTTAAATAAATTACATTTTAAAATTTTCCTAAAAAAAAAAACACAGCTTAAGCACAACCTTCTATAGGGAGACTTCACTGATCCCTCCACCCCAAATGTTAATACATTCTCAAACTTCCTTATTTTCCTTCTTTATAATCATTATGTAAATACTTACGCACATTTATCTCCCCCATTAAAATATAACCTTCATCTAGGTAAGGATAGTTTCATTCTCTGTATTGCTATCTCTGCTCCCTAGTACAGAGATTGGCACATAGTAGGTACTTAATAAATGCTTATTTTAATCTTTGGTAGGCAGTATATATTCCAGGTTACTCTATGAAAGAAAAATATGTTCCAAAGATCATGCTTAGCTATACAGTGTGATAGGTTGTAAAGAGTATAGATTTGGCATCAGAAGACCTGAGTTTGAATCCCAAATCTAGTCCCTGCCAGCTACGCAGTTATAAGCTATTTGATTTCTCAGAGCTATTTGTAAAATGAGGAGATCGAGCCAGATCAGTGGTGTCAAACTCAAATAGAGATGAGGATCACTAAAGTATATATAAGGATCTCTGGGGACAGACATATTGACTTGGAAAACCATATGTAGCCATTATCTGTTTTATTGTATTTTTGTTGATTTTGTTAGCTATTTTTCAATTACATTTAAATCTGGTTTGAGTGGTATGTGGGAGTGCTGTGGCCCACAAATCACACGTCTGACACCTCAGGGCGAAATGATTTCCAAAGTCTCTAATATCCTGTGATACTGAATAGTGAGAAACAAGGATTTGGGGAAAAGGAAGTTGAGCCCAGGGGTTTAAGGGGATGTGCTGCAATAAATTAAAATATATAAAATAAATAATAATATATAAATAGATTTACATATAGAATTTATATTTAAATTTGATGTATGTATGTATGTATATGTACATATATACATATTTTATATAGCTTCCATTTAGGGATAGAAACTGTACCCATGATTTCAGTTGTATAGCGAACTGCCAGATAAGGAATTTCCCTCCCCCAAAGCAGGTCAGCCCTTTCTCTACAAGCTATTTAGTCTTGGAGAGTTGACTTGCCCAGGGCCACACAGCCACCATGTGTCAGAAGCAAGACTTGATTGCACATCTTCCTGGCTCAGGGACCAGCTCTCTATGTACCCCATGGCTACCTCAAGATCTTCCATTTATATAATGTTAGATGATTCACAAATTCACCTTCACCAACCACCCGTGAATTAAATTATGCAGCTACCATTATTAACATTTTACAAATCAGGAAACTGAGCTCAAAGGTGAAGTGATACATATTTGAGGTCACCCAGCTAAGAAGTAACCGAGATGGGACTGGAACCCAGGACTTTTGTTTCTTTTGTATCCTCAGTGCTTAGCACAGTGCCTGGCACATAGTAGGAGCTTCATAAATGTTTACTGATTGATGACGGATTGATAGGTTACACTACAGTTGTCAAACAACTGCCAACTGACCCCATGCAACAACAGAACCAAAACAGATTAAAACATAATTGGGCAATATTTAACAAAATCAAGAACATTAAATTTTAAAATTTGGTCAGCATGCACCCACAGGAATTCTTATGCAGGGATCAGTGGGTCCCATTGACAGTTCTACAGAACACTGTACTTTCTCTTTAATGTCCATTAATTGTGACTTTGGATTTTTCTCTCTTCTGTTACCTTTCACAACTTGCTCCAGCAAAAGGTGAGAATATATGAAACTCTTCATGTCTAACCCCTTTTCTGGAATCTGCAGCTTCATTGTCACTCTCCACCACCTTGGAGCTGCTCTCTGGATTCATGAGACTTTTAACGGTCTTTATATTTTGTCGAAAATCATCCAACCAGGCCTTGGATGACTGGGCTTTCATTCTAGTCTTCTTGGCGTTCTAAAAAGAAGCAAACGAGGACAGGCAAATAGACCTTACAACAGAAAACAGGTTTATTTGATGTTTATTTTTAGTCAGAGAGAACTTACAATTCAGTGTTACTGTTTCAAACATAATCTGACAAAGTCATCCCCAGAACCAAACTCTCATTACTACCCTTTGAAACCAATTCCAACAAGCATACCTATGCTTTTTTTTTTATTTTTTGGTGAGGCAATTGGGGTTAAGTGACTTGACCAGGGTCACACAGCTAGTAAGTATCAAGTGTCTAGTCTTAGACCAGATTTGAACCCAGGCCCTTCTGACTCCAGGGCCAGTGCTCTATCCATTGAGCCACCTAGCTGTCCCCTACCTATGCTTTCTTGGTGGAGCCTTGAATTCATTCAACCACTCTAGAAAACAATTTGGAATTATGAAATAAATTAGCTGTTAACTAGAACTATGATTTTAAAATGAAAAACAAAAAGTGATATTACAAAGTCTTCATGTGGATTATAGCAGGGATCTCGGAAATTCAGGGACTTCTCCCTTACGACTGTCATTTCACCTGTTATAATACGGCCAACTCAACTGGACCGAGACAGCCTGTGTGACAGGCAGGCGAAGGTTAACAAGTTTGGTTAGCAAGCCTTTTCTGATCCTGTCAATTCTAACCCTACGCACGTTCTTGGTCATAGCTGCCACTGTCAATTGGCAAGCTGCAAAAACCAAGGCTGAAAAACATCTTTTGTGACAAGCAGCAAGTCTGAACCTGAAAAATGTTCCACATGCTTGCTTCTCTGGAGATTTCTCCCATGCTTTCCTGAGAAAATGTCATGCATATTTCATCAAATGGAAAATAGAAAATCCCATAAATATGGCCCATCACGAGTCTTCTTTTTATGATAAACATTGGCCTTCGTATCCAGCTGTTATGAAACTCATATTAGCACCAGCTATTAAGCAAGTCTTCTTTGGTTTTACATTTTTAAAAATAAATTACCCCTCCCCGCATCTCTGTCTGAAGGAAATTAGTTGTCATTCAAAGCCCCTATTGCTTGATAGACAAGGTTTGGAAATAGACCAGCAGAGGTCACCTTAAACGTGGTCTGTCTTATTGAAAAGCAATGTACACATGAGATTTTTATCAGTTGAATAATTTTCCTGTTGTGACACTTGAAAATCTCAGGTGACGATAAGAGCCATCTCTCTTTGCTTTTCTGCCCCTCACATCCACCCCTTGCTCCACGGGGTAGCATTTCTCTCTTTGATTTTGAAAGGTCCCCAGGATGGCTCGTGGTCAGTTGGGCACAGAGCTCCAACTATGGGAATTGTCTTCAATCTTAACTCCAGGCAGGATGCGCAAGCAGGTAGAAGTGGGAAAGGTACCTCTACACACACACACACACACACACACACACACACACACACACACACACCAACAAACCAGCTCACTCCAAGAATCAGTTGAAGACTTACCACCTTTAAGAGTCCTTTCCTAATTCCCCTAGTTGTTAGTGCCCCTCTTCATGACTGTGGGTTGATTTTGTATACATCTTTTATTTCTTTATCTGTAAACATGTATACCCCCAGTGAAATATAAGCACCTTGAGGGCAGGGAATGACATGTTTTTTGTAGCCTTGCCTTATAATACACAGTCATCCCAGAATGCACCAGTAATGGATGCTTTGGAACAAGGACTTATGGGAGGGGCTATGTGAAGTTATCTAAGATTGTTCTGGAGAATTCTGGGAGAAAGACTCCAGAAGGATGAGGAATAAGAGACAGAGTCTGGTGTGCCCCCCGTCTTGGAAACATATGAAGAGACGTTGGTACAGAGTCCATTCTTTCAGTCAGAGGGATTATGGTGAACATCTGATTGCCTCCTGTGGAAGGTAATGTGCTTAGTGTGGTGGCTGAAGATGATGAGGCAGCGGGATGATGAATTAACCTGGTTCAGTGAAGTGCCTCCGCCTCCCCACTCCCTAAGCCAGAAAGGAAACCACTTCAACTGTCTCCTACCCACTCCCCGGGTGTCTTAACGTGAGAGCTGTTACTGTTCCTTCCTTCCCCCTTCTCCTTCAGTCCTCTTTTTTGCTGTCCCATATCATGACTAGAAAAAAGAATTCGCATGCTAATCTCCATTTGTGTATATTGCTATAAAAAATGGGAAGCAAAAGCAAATATGGGTCACTTAAACTCATCCAGCACCTACTGGGGAGGGGGGAGTTGGGGAGAGGTGATAAGCAGGAAGAGAGTAGAAATCCAAAAAGAATCACAGAATTGAGCCCCCCCCCATACAAGTCATAAATTATTTGAGAGAAATAGAAGCCCAATTTTTGAATGCCTTTAGTGGTATCTAGGTACCACCACTCTGCCCATATTTCCCCTGGACTATTGTTGTTAGCAGACCACAAGCTCAGGACAAAAAGAGAAGAGGGAAAAGGTTTATCTTGGTGCATTCCTAGGTTTATTTCTATCCCTTTCCCCCATACATAGCTACACGTGGTAATCCCCTCTGATACATGGAGTACCAGGCTTCACTCACCATGTACATATTACATGTTATATGTGGGGAACTGCTCCCAAAAATATTATTTAAATATTATTAATAATATTATTAAAATATTATCATCCCTACTTTATAGATTAGAAGCCTGAGGCCCATAGAGAGTCAGTGGCTTGCCCCCTGTCCCATTGCCTATTAGTATCTGAAGGAATTTCTCTCATGACTTCAAGGCCAGGAAGGAATAGTGGAAGAGGAATCACAGGGGCACACCCCTTTCTTAGAGACACATTATTTATTTGTGGAGAGACCTCGTTGGCTGGTAAGATGACAGAGTGGTTGTTTTTGGCAGCCCTCAGTGACCCAAAAACTACATGAAAAGGAATAATGTGCTGAATATAGAGTAACTAAGACTGAATCTATGAGATAAGAATGCAGAATACACCACACAAAGTTTGGGGGGAAAAACACCTGATGGAATAATTTCAGAGAAATCCCCAGAGCTCTACCCCTACCCACCACAAGCCTCTCGAATGCTCAGATATACTGAGTACAGGCAATCTCACAGGCTGATAACTCAGAGTGCTACCAGCTACATCTTACTGGAAGATTTTTAATTGGTTGACTCTGAATCCATCCAAGAAATGTGAGCAACATTGTAGTTCTTCCTACCTGGCCTCCCCAGTGGACAACTAGGCTCAGGGAAGGGATGGGGAAGAGTACATCTTCCCTGCCCTGCATCCCCAAGAGATTTGAGCAGTCTCAGAGGGAGGGGAGGGGTATGAGGAGGCTGAGGCTGCCCAACAGCCCATCCCCAGAAGACTATGCTTCTTTAGAAGGGGGAGAGAAACAACCATATTGTAACAATAATTAACTGTGAATGACTTAGCTGTTCTCAGCAACACAGTGATTTAAGACAGTTCCAAAGGACTCGTGATGGAAAATGCTATCCACCTCCAAAGAAAGAACTAATGAACTCTGAATACAGAATGAAATATGTGTGGGGGTTTTTTCCACTTTATTTTTCTTGCTTCGTCTTTTTTTTTTTTGCAACATGGCAATCGTGGAAATATGTTTTTCATGACTTCGTATGTATAATGGGTATCATATTTCTTGCCTCCTCAGTGGGTGGAGGAGGGAGTGGAGGGAAGGAGAGAATTTAGAACTAAAAATATTTTTTTTTTAAAGAAAGGGGGAGAGACCAAAGGCTGAAACACCAAAAGTCCAAGAGAAAATGCCTAACTTAAAACTTACTTTCTAAACAGAGAAAGCAATACAAAGATTCATATGAACAAAAGAACGAATGAGCAAAACAGAGAGTCTAACATACTATGAGAAAAAATGAACCAAATTACCTGATTTAAAAAAAAAATCCTGCAGAATCCCCAGATATCATGGAACAATACCAAGGAACTCTACAATGGTTTAAAAGAGAAATAAAACTTTAAAAAAAGAAAAAATATGAATGAATTTTGTTCAGAAATAACTCTTGATACAGAATTTACAAAATGCAAACAGCAAAATAGGAAAATTGAAATATACAACAGAGAATCTCTGAAGAAATAGAAGCTCTGAGAGAGAAAATAATTAATTTGGAACTAAACTGAAGTAGAAGAAACTTTGTTAGAGGAGCTTAAAAAAAATTAGAACACGTAAAATCTATACAAAAAATGTGACTAGTCTTAAAGACAGGATACAAAGAGATAGCTTAAGGGTCATAGGTGTCCCAGAAGAATAAGACATTAAAAAAAACCAAATATACTTTACTGTAGAAAATAATAGACCCCCCAAAAAAATCATCCAAACTATTGAACATATACAACAAAGCAATGATTGTGAGAATCCACAGATCCTTGCAAAGGGGGGGGGGAATATATATATATATATATATATATATATATATATGTATATATATATACATATATATATGTATATATATATACATATATATATGTATATATATACATATATACATATATATATGTATATATATATACATATATACATATATATATATATATATATATATATATATATATATTTGCTGGGAAAAGAAATATTTGCTAGGAAAAAAATATTTGCTTCAAATTCCATGGGATACATGGTTAACATTTACAATTTTAATGTTAAACTAAAAAATTTGTGAACAGCCAAGTGTGAAATTAAAAATTGATTTTTAATTCTATTTGTTAAGGCGTAATCAAAAGTCGGCATGGATTTAAATGTTCTCCTTCCCTGTGTGAGTCTAAATCCCTTAATCCCTGCAAATGTACTCAGGTAACCTCAGGTCACTTGGGTCACAATTCTATTCTTGTGATTTGTACTTCCACGCTTGTAATTTCATCCCAGATTCTGGAGGAATTTGCTTAAAGGCCAATCTCATCAATTTAGACTGTTATGGCAACTCCCATTGCCTGCAGACAAATCCTGTTGATGAGATTTGGAGGTGCTGGGACCCTGAGAATGCCAAGGTGGAGGTGCCTGGAATGAATTCATACACTCAAGCCCTTTCTT